TTTAGATATTGTGAATAATGCTATGAACATTGATGTACAAATATGTTCGAGACCCTGCTTTCAATTCTTTGGGATATACAACCAGAAATGGAATTGCTAGGTCATATGGTACTTCTATGTTTAATTTTCTGAGGAAGTGCCTGCTATATTACTTTCTGCAGTGCCTGCATCATTTTATATTCCCATGCGAGTTGTGCAAGGGTTCTAATTTATTTGTTTGTTTTAAGTAATGTGCTGAATGGCCTTTGGTGAGTCACAATTTCTCTGGACCTCAGTTTCCGCATCTATTAAATGAAGGAATTTTAATGGATAATCTCTTAGGTTTCTAGTAGCAATTAAAAAAAAAAAAACTGTAATGGTCTAATTGAATCAAGTGGCAATTACAGCCAGAAAGCAGTTTAAATGGTTTCCTAATACAATAAATAGAGTCACAATTTTTCAGAGAAAAAGGGCAAAGGATCTAAAAATACACCCAGGGCTTCCCTGGTGGCACAGCGGTTAAGAGTCCGCCTCCCAATGCAGGGGACACGGGTTCGAGCCCTGGTCCAGGAAGATCCCACATGCCACGGAGCAACTAAGCCCCTGCGCCACAACTACTGAGCCTGCGCTCTAGAGCCTGCGCTCTAGTGAGCCTCAACTACCGAAGCCCACGTGCCTAGAGCCCGTGCTCCGCAACAAGAGAAGCCACCGCAACGAGAAGCCCGTGCACTGCAACTAAGACTAGTCCCCGCCCGCCGCAACTAGAGAAAGCCCGCGTGCAGCAACGAAGGCTCAACGCAGCCAAAAAGTAAATAAATTAATTAAAAAATAATAAAAATGCACCCAGCTCTCACTGATGACAGTGGTGGCTGCTTCCTGAGCACCTACTCTGTGCTCAGCACTGTTCCAACTATCCTCCACGCATTATCTCAGAGCCTGAGGGTATAGATGTGGAAATCGAGGAGTGGCAAAATTGCACCATCTTCCCGAGGTCCCACAGCCAGCAGGTGAAAGAGTCAATATCTGCCCTCGGACAGCGCTGCTCTGGAGGCAGGTTCCTCACCACCACGCCCTGACCCTTCCCTCCTGGGTGCTTCGCCCCAAGTCTTGAGAGTTCTTCACTGTTTTCTTTCTTTTCTTTGATCACACTTCTGTTTAGATGTCTCAGTCCTCTGCCAAGAACAGCTGAATTTCCTCAGCTACAGCATTGAAACTTTTTATTTTTAGGTCTGGAGGCTGAAATGTACAAAACTGTCTCAGAAATCCTCTCGGTGACTGTTTTTTAGTAATTTTCTCTGACACGTGTTTTCCAGAAAATCACTTTTAAGGTACACTCCTTGAAGGAGGAAGAAACAGAATGCCTACTGTGTTCCTGTGTGGTTTACATGTATGAATTCACTGAATCTGGACAGTAACCCTATGACATGGATTTTATTACCTCAATTTTATAAGATTTTATGAGCAAGGACACGGAGATTCAGAGAGGTGTGTTAGCTCATCAAGGTCACTCAGCCAGAATGTAACCGAGCTGGGAGATAAGACCGCCACGGGGTGAAACCCAAGCTCCTTCCTAGGGGGAGACTCCCGGCAGAACACAGAGAGCCACTTAGGAAAATCAGTGCTCGGCCAGTGAGACACCATGACCCGCTACCATGACCCGCTGAGCTGCTAGCATTAGAAAGGGGCCAAAATAAAGGGAAGTGAAGTGGTTCACAGCTTCCCAGAAGGAAGCAGAGGAAACAACTCAGTCCACACTGAAGAGTAGATTCTCTTTAGGCACCAGAGGCTCTGTTTTCTCCCGGAACAAAGATTGTGGAGGGAGGATATTCCTGGATAACATATATTCTAGTTACCAAAAATATGTCTATATACATCAAAGATATAGTTTAAAGTGATTGGGGGAGGGATAAATTAGGAGCTTGGGATTAACATACATACACTACTACATATAAAATAGATAAACAACAAGGACCTACTGGATAGCACAGGGAACTCTACCCAGTACCCTGTGATAACCTATATGGGAAAAGAATCTGAAAAAGAATGAATACATGTATATATATAACTGAATCACTTTGCTGTACACCTGAAACTAACGCAACATTTTAAATCAACTCTACTCGAATAAAAGTAAAAAAAGAAGTAATTGGATTTATCTGGTTAAGAAGAAACCATCTTAATAGTTCCATATGATCTTAACATTGTTTGGTGCCTGTTCTAGGTTTTACAGGGATTGAGTTAAAAGGGGTGAAATCTAGGTCCCAGATTTAGTCAGGAAGAATTCTCTTAAGAGGATTCTAAATGCCAGAAAGAGGTTGAGGACTCCTAAAAATTGGAAATAAAAAAGTTGAGAGAAGCAGATGTGGGTTAATGTTCAACTCACACGATGATGTGGTCTCTAAAGACCACTGTAGAGAATTCTCAGGGACAATCATCCCATCAGCCCCAGGACACAGTGATCTGTATACAAAATGTCCTTAAAATGACGCTAATTATATGACTGGAGATTTCTTTTTCTTTTTTTTTAAGATTTTTTATTTTTTGATGTGGACCATTGTTAAACCATTCAATAAGACTTTACTGAATTTGTTACAATGTTGCTTCTGTTTTATGCTTTGGGTCTTTGGCCGTGAGGCATGTGGGATCTCAGCTCCCTGTGGAGGGATCAAACACATACCCCCTGCATTGGAAGGTGAAGTCTTAACCACTGGACCACCAGGGAAGTCCCTATGACTGGCAATTTCTTTTTTCTTTTTTTCTTTTTTTTAAACATCTTTATTGGGGTATAATTGCTTTACAATGGTGTGTTAGTTTCTGCTTTATAACAGAGTGAATCAGTTATACATATACATATGTTCCCATATCTCTTCCCTCTTTGTCTCCCTCCCTCCCACCCTCCCTATCCCACCCCTCCAGTTGAATGAATTTCATGTTTCCTTTTACTTTCTTTTACCGTAGCTACTAGAACATTTTAAATTACATATATGGAATATTACTCAGCCATGAATGGCATTATATTTCCATATTTCAGTGCTCTTCTAGACAGTGTAATAAGGTAAAAGAAAAGAAAAAATCTTTAGCCACAAGAAATAAGAAGGTGCAATTATTACTGTTTGAGGATTAGATGACTGGGTAGATGAGAAGTTATTACACATTTTAAAAAATAATTATTTAGAAATTAATGACTACTTTCTATGCCAGCATTAGACAGTTAGAGAATATAATGGAAAAATAAATCTCAAATGTCCATGAAATATATAATATACTCAAGAATAAATTGTATGTAAAATGTAAGACATTTTTATAAATAAATAGTTTTAAATGGCTTTAGTTTCTCCTTTGACAACAGTTTAGGGAAGAAGCAAAGATGTTCTCAGAGAACACTAGTCTGAACTGAGGCCCCCAGCTGAGCAAACAGCTGTACTCACCTGACTGCCAGTCTGTACTGGCTGCTGAGGACCAAATATCCATGTCCATCAAACATTGTAGAACTCACAGCATACAAGTTCAGCAATGACCTTGTTTCTGGCTCCATCTTAGGTTTCCTATCCTGATGTTTCTTTGCTTAATCATCCAAGCACTGCATTATAAAACATGATACATGCATCAGCTATAATTATACACTGACTTCATGGTTTGTTTTTTCTCCTATTCCTTTAACTTTTTAATGTAGGGCTGTTCCTTCCCCTTCTCTCAAATGACATTTCTTAGTCATCTTGTATCACTTCTTCAGGGACAAGCATAGTCTCTGTTTCTGCACCTCTGCCTTTTCATCTGAACAGATCTTTTTTTCTTTTTTTTTAACATCTTTATTGGGGTATAATTGCTTTACAATGGTGTGTTAGTTTCTGCTTTATAACAGAGTGAATCAGTTATACATATACATATGTTCCCATATCTCTTCCCTCTTTGTCTCCCTCCCTCCCACCCTCCCTATCCCACCCCTCCAGGCAGCCACAGAGAACCGAGCCGGTATCCCTGTGCCACGCGGCTGCTTCCCACTGGCTATCTACCTTACGTTTGTTAGTATATATATGTCCATGTCTCTCTCTCGCCCTATCACACCTCACCCTTCCCCCTCCCCATATCCTCAAATCTGTTCTCCAATGACTGGCAATTTCTAAAGCGAGACAAGTCTTTCACCAGCATGGCTAATACTTCCCAAATTTAGGTTTTTTTTGTCTCAAATCACTGGAAAGGATATGATTTGAGCAAAGTGATTCTTATCCCATAGACACTATCCAGGAGAGAATGGATTATTCTGATTTTTCCCTATCTGAAGAATATTCATCTTTAGTCCTCCTATGCATTTCGTGGGAAATAATACATGATTTTCTAATACATAACTGACTCAAATTATATGTTATTCTCTCATTACATGTTACTTTCTTATTTTCAACATAAAGCGTCAAATCCACTTTCTTCCACACTTGAAAATAAGGCTCCCAGCACAATGCCTTAAATGCACGAATGAAAGACTTTTTCAGTGTGATATTCTACACTGCACCTGAATCCTGGGCCTGGCACCTGACTTGCACAAGGATAACATGGAAGCAAATGAGATCTTGCACAACTTTGGAAAACCTCTCTTTTCCTCTCCCAGCACTACGGGAAAGGCCCCTTCATCCTTCGATGTTGCTGACAGAAACACAATCCGTATCGAAACAACCGGGAGTGCTGTTCACATGACCCAACGGCCTTATGTGTCCTGACTGGATGAAGCGGGAGCATCACTTCACCTACACTGAAGCCACAAGTGCTAGAATTACTTGATATATGGCAAACAATGCTATCAACTGCTCATGCATTGGCTCCAAAATAACTATTGTGTAAGAGAAAAAAACAGCCTGAGAAAACTCTGCTTCTTTGATTCTACAGATTAAAACACAGATTTCAGTTAGAGCTGGTAGCTTACTGGTAGGTGGTATTAAAAAACAAACAAACAAACCCAAAGCCCAAGAAGCACACTCAGCAAGCTGGTCTGCAATAGTTCAAAAGCTGGCTGAGCGCACCAAACTTACAGATTTCAGGATCCCTGTGGCATCTTCATGCAGCCATGTAGGGTAGACCACTTCATCGTTCAGTATGGCTTCAAAGAGGTCATCTTCATTCTCTGCTTCAAAGGGCGCATGGCCACAGAGCATCTCGTAGAGCAGCACGCCCATTGCCCACCAATCCACTGCAGGCCCGTAGAGCATCTCCTGGAGGATCTGTGCATAGGGGTAATGTGAGAACTTCGTGCATCTGATGAACAAATGCATCATTAATGACTAAGGAAAATGATGGATTAGGAGATGAAGTAAAACAAGGGAGTTTCCTGCGTTGGCATTCATGTTTCATTCCATCTCTAGAGAGTGGTCTGTTTTCCCTGGGGTCAATTCAGAGGCCTTGTCATCCAGGTGATCAAACATCTATGGCCTGCTTAGGCCAAAGTAATAGTATATGCAGATCCAAACCGGAAAGGGTTTTGTAACTATATCTGTGGGCTCACTCACTCCTATGGGAAAGATTCAAGAGCTTGTCTTTATTTCTGCTAAATGGGGCTGGGATCAAAGCACTGAGTAGAGGCAAAGAAAAAAATTAAATAGCTGTGCCTGGAACGTCCTTTGTCCTCATTCAGGGCTAAACCCTAAAGCAACTGCAAAGTTTACAAAACTTTTTGACTCAAATTGTATCGGGAGGAACCAAGGACATTTTCAGCCATCATTCACCCAATGAGCCACAAAGGAGTCTGGAGGCGTCAATTTTCAATGCCGCCCACCAGGCTGCAGCACATCAATGCAGCCTGTGTGGCTTTTCTGACGGGGCTGCTAGAGAGCCTGGATTACCAAAGCTGCTCAAGCAGCAAGCACACTCACCTCTGGAGCAATGTAGTCGGGTGTGCCGCAGAAGGTGGCCGTGGTGACCCCGTTACAGATCCCCTCCTTGCACATTCCAAAGTCTGCCAGTTTACAGTGACCCTCGTGGTCCAAAAGTACGTTGTCCAGTTTCAGATCTCTGCAAGAAACAAAAAGCAGCATGTGGTGGGGCAGCCAGGCCCCACACCATCCACCTGGCTGAGCTGGGTCACGGGACGGGAGATCACGCAGCTGGGAGAGCTTTCTGCACACACCCTTCAAAGGGAACACACTTCTTTGTGTTATCTGGACAACAAATTTAGATCTGCTCTTGACATTTGCCTCGTGGTTCCTAGACGATGGTTCCATCTGAATGGGCTAACCACATATCAAAACATAGGCTGCCCATTAGAAACTGAGAATGTGACTTCCAGGTGTCCCACTTACCTTAAGCCCATGAGACATCCACCCACCCGCCCCCTGTTCTCTGGCATCTCTCTCTACCCACTGGACTTCACTCGGTGAACATTCCAGAGCAAGTGGCCACTGTGTGGCACAGACTGTGATAGGCATCAAGAGTACAGATGATCCTTGTTCCTAAGGAACTCACAGTATAAAGGGGAGACAAATATTTGCTAGACTGTAAGCTCCATGGAGGAGGGACCAGGTGGGTTTTGTTCACCACTGTGCCTAGCATAGTGCACTCAATAAATATTTGTTCAAAATATATACATAGAGATGCGTGTGTACAGAGATACATACACATGCATACACACCACACACACACACACACACACACACACACACACACACGGGGGAGGGAGGAGAGAAGAATGAGAAGGGGGTTGGGGAGGGAGACAGAACCAACTGTTGTATAATACAAGTGGCACAAAGGAAGTATGAACCGAGTGCTGTGAGAAAGACACAAGAAGGAACAATTCATTCCTTCTAGTGAGAGGAGAGGGGGACATTTCCACAGTAGAAACGGAAATTGAGCTGGGTCCTAAAACATGAGTCAGCATCTTCCAGACGGGGAAGGGGTGTGAGAAGGTCGCTGTGGGCAGGTGGGCAGGGGGGCAGGGCTGTTGCATGGAGCAGACGCAGAGGTGTGAGGTGCAGGTGGGCTCAGGAACCCCAGGTGGTGTAGTAAGGATGGAGAGGGGGCTCGCATGGGAACACGGGGGCCATCAAAATGCCAGGGCTAGAAGGCAAAGTTTGGTCCAAACTGTGAAGTGTCCTGAATGCCACACTAAGGAATTCTGATATCTAGATATTAGGCGAAAGTGACCCACTGAAGCTCTCTAATTAAGATTTCCAGCTGATGAGAAAAGATTAGCTGGAGGCAGCTGAAGCAGTCCAGGGAAGAGATGACCTGAACGAGGACAGTGACAGATGGAATGAAAACTAGGGGGTCAGTCAGCAGTGCTTTGGTGAAAACACAACTAGTATTAAGGCTCGATGACCATTTAGAGGGAGATGAGAAGCAGCAGCAAAACTGATGACCCCTGGGTTTCTGTCTTAGATTCAGTGGGTCAGTGGGGACGTTAATAACCAGGGAAAAGCAAAACAGGGTAAGAAAAGGGTTTGTTTAGGTGTACCCCAGATACATAGAAGCCTCAGATATTATGGTGAGCACAGGACAAAAAGGCACTTACCGTCCCTCGCCCAACCCCTAGGAGCAGAATCCACTTAAGGGAAGTGCGTTTCCAGCAGCAGAACTGTCTGGTAAAAGGCCTCAGTGGAGGCAGGAACATGGGTTGGATGCTAATAAAACTGTCTGCAAATGAAAGGCAGTGCCCCCTGAACACCCCCTCCCCAACACAGGCTTCTGGCACCACCTCTCCCATCGCCATGCATATCCGGGCATCATTAAAGACGGAGGTCTGGCACC